ACAAAAGAACTTTTAGGACAAGAAGTATTCCCAAAGATAAAAGAGACAGTTGATAATGATTAAGGGTCAGTTAGGAAGTTATAGCAATCATAAATATGTATTTGTTAAGGAAAAAAAACAAACTTTGAAGTACATGAATCAAATATTGACAGAACCGGAAGAAGAAACAGACAAATATACAATCATTGTGGGATATGTTAACATTCCCTTCTCAATAATTGATAGAATAATTAAACTGAAAAGTTGTAAGGATCTAGATTTGCAAAACATTAATGTCAAACACATTCAACTAATACATAGAACATTATAGCCAATAACTGAAGAATATACACTATTTTCAAGTGTGCATGGAAGAATATTCAACAAGTTAAATCATATGCTGAGCCACAGAAAATTTCTCAGCCAGCTTTTAAAAATTAAATTAAAAAGACTGTTAACACCAAATTCTGGTGATACTGAGAAATAATTATAACTCTCCTATACTGCTGTTGGGGTGTATTTAAAATAGTACAACCATTTTAGAAAACTGTCAGTTACTTACACACAAACACATATCTAGACTATGACCCAGGAATTCCACAAAAAAAGATTTAAAAAATATATGTATGGCAATTTTATTCAAAATACTTAGTTTAGAAGAAGCTACATGTTCACACACACACACACACACACACACACACACACAAATAATGCAATATTCATAAGATGTGAAATTACCCCACAGTAAAAAAGAACAATTACTGAAATTTTCACAATTATGTTGAAAGAAACACACCAGACATTAAAAAGTACATACAGCCAAGAACAACTTAAACTAACTTCTGCTGATTGAAATCATGACAGTGGTTGCTTTGGAGAGTGGGTATCCAAGGGAATTTTCTGTGGGAGATGGAAATGTTCTATATGTTGTTGAGTGGTGTTACATAAGAGTATGCATTCGTAAAAACTCATTGAATTGTACACTTAGGTTCTGTACATTTCATTGCATATAAAATAATTTTCCATAAGTAAAAAACATTTAAAAAACACAAAAACATGAAAAGAAAAAAGCTTTCCCATAAAAATGCAGCAACAATATTCAAAATAAGTTATATATTTATATAGAAATTTTCTTTTTTTTTTAACGTTTTTTTTTTATTTTATTTTTATTTTTTTATTTTTGGGACAGAGAGAGACAGAGCATGAGCGGGGGAGGGGCAGAGAGAGAGAGGGAGACACAGAATTGGAAACAGGCTCCAGGCTCTGAGCCATCAGCCCAGAGCCCGACGCGGGGCTCGAACTCCCGGACCGCGAGATCGTGACCTGGCTGAAGTCGGACGCCCAACCGACTGCGCCACCCAGGCGCCCCTAGAAATTTTAAATGCTAGGCAAATACTTCCTAACTAATGTTTTACAAATCTAGGTGTTAGTAGAAATGATGAGTTTTATTGTATTTTTGATATATCCATTCTAGAAAAGAAGCCTTACAGATTAGGCTAAGCATGTCAACAACTGTTTTCAACTATCTTTTGGCAATTGGTTAATCTTCATGCAAAGTTCCTAATATACTTCTGAGAATAGCATTCTACCCAGCTTTCACAGAGCATATCTTAAACAGTTAACCATTCTCTGTAAAAACATCCTAAATACAAAGTTAGTTTTAAATCTTAAGTCTAAACTTTAAAAATGTTAGACTTCCATATAACAAATATTAATGTAGTTGTATTTTAAAAATTACAAACAAGATCTTGGCTTTTAAAAAATCCTATCTAAAGTAGGCTAATTTAGGGGCACCTGAATGGCTCAGTCAGTTAAGCATCTGACTTCAGCTCAGGTCATGATCTCACAGCTTGTGGGTTTGAGCCCCACATCAGACTCTGTGCTGATTGCTCAGAGCTTGGAGCCTGCTTTAGATTCTGTGTCTCCTCTCTGCTCCTCCCCTGCTCACGCTCTGTGTGTATGTCTCTCTCTCAAAAATAAATAAACATGAAAAAGAATTTTAAGTAGGGTAATTAATTAGTAACAAACCAGAAAATTAGGCTACTGATTTTTAATGTATCTTTTATTTGTATAGATTTCATTATTGTGATTCTTATGGAATACTACTTATTATCTTTCTAACATTGCAAATTGTTTCCAAAGTAATAATTTTTCATAAGGTATCCAGACACAGAACTGAATGGGTGATTTATTTGAGGTTGCAGTGAATACTAGGTGGTAAAAAATTCAAATTACAATGATAACATTAATACACTAAAAAGCATTATTTCTTTTCTTGAATTTTGAAAGTGTTCAATCATCTAGTGGTTTCTATTTATGTGTGCCTTCTATTTATAAAATAGCTTCCTGACCAAAAGTTATTTTTTCATATGCCATGAAACTTGTAATTGAAATTCACTAAATTGTGGTTAACAATAATTTGCACAACCTTCTCTTTGCTCAAATAATTTTCTTTGTATTCATATTGCATTATTTTAAAGTTGAGTTGTTACTAATGAAAATTTGCTGTCATTAAAAGTCCTATATTTTAGGGGCGCCTGGGTGGCGCAGTCGGTTGAGCGTCCGACTTTAGCCAGGTCACGATCTCGCGGTCCGTGAGTTCGAGCCCCGCATCGGGCTCTGAGCCATCAGCCCAGAGCCC